TTCACAACTACGGGCCTACTCTAAGGAACCTGAAGGACCCCCGGAGGTGCCCCTGGTAGAAGCGCAGCCTGATGAGGGTCAGGAGATTGGAGCGGACGACTTCACTGGTCCGATTACGAGGATCCCGGCATATGGTCAGAACAGTTTTGTTTAGACAAGCTGACGTGAAGTCGGGGTGATGTGTAACGCATGTCAAAGGGCTGTCAATGCTAACAGCTGCAGCGCTCTCTCGACAGCGAAGGTAATCGACTGCCCTCTGCATCACCCCACATTTCTGGCAGGAACACCAATCGTTATTTCCTTGTCGACCAGTGAAGTCGTCCGCTCCATTTTCCTGGCCCTCATCAGGCTGCGCTTCTACCAGGGGCACCTCCGGAGGTCCTTCAGGTTCCTTACTAGTATGGTCGCAGTTGTGAAGCTTGGGAATGTTGACCAAACATCGTTCTTCATCACCAGAAAATTCAAAAAACTAAGATCTTCAAATGCAGAGAATTTGAATACCAATCACACGTGACGTCATCAAAACCATCAAAAGAGGAGACAAACTTGGCCCTCCCTGGCTTCATATATCGACTTTTTGGGTCTAGTTTTCGCGATTCCCCATTCCTTGGGGGCCATCTAAGGCCCCCATGAAGAGAACACACCACCGAAAATATTCCCGGAGTGCCCCTTTAACAGAGATAAGCTCCTGGACACCATGAAGAACATTACGGGTCCTGACGAAGTTTGCCTTATACATCACCTGCTACACAATACAACAATAACGGTCAAGATTGGGTCTGCTACATCGCAACCGTTTCGCAGCACGATCGGTACCCCACAAGGGGATGGCCTCAGTCCCGTGCTATTTATATGCTACCTCGAGGCTGCACTACGTGAGTGCAGAGCCAATTTCCCAAGCAGACCAGCAACAGACAACTTACTCCCCCACGAGACCGGGTATGCGGATGACATCAATTTCTATTCAAGGAACCGCAAGTGGCTGGAGACCAGTCTGCCTATACTATCGGACACTCTCGGTACGTGGTCCTTAAATGTCAACCAATCGAAGACTGAGTGGATACATCTGACAGCGGACTCACACGATTGGAAGACCTCGAAGCAAGTTGGATCATTGATTGGGGAGGAGGAAGACTGTGGCAGACGAATGAGTCAGGCGTCAACATTCTTCGGACGGATGTATACGGTGTGGCTGAGGAGAGAGCAGAGACGAGGTTACGTCTGTACAATGCCATTGTCCTCCCGAGTCTCCTATACAACTGTGAGGCATGGGGATTGACGGCAGGAAACCTCTCCAAGGGTGACGTGCTCCACAGAAAGCAACTTCGATGCATCCTGGGTATAAAGCTGCAAGACCAAGTCAGCAATGAACGCCTGTACGAACGTTGTGAAACCTGCCCAGTATCTACCCTGATTAAACAGCAAAGGAGGAGAATGACAGGACACATCCTGAGGGTGTCCCCCAACACGCCCGCCCGCAAAGCCATGAACATCTACTACTAGGCTTGACCCAAGACTCCCGAGGCCGGCCAGGGCGCCCAAGAAAGACGTTGGCAACCCACGCAGCGTTGCGGAGGACATGAGAGAGGCCGGAATGACTTTCACCACAGTGCGAGATCTCGGCCTGGCGAATGAGCGAGCAAGGGACAAACCGGCACGGAGAGCGATGGCTACAACTAATGATACTGAACTAGAACAACGGAAAGATTCATCAAGAGACGCAGCGGACCGAACATTAGAGTTACACAATATTAATGTTCCATTACGCGCAACTGTGTTATTATTATTGAACCGAACATCATTCGTTTGGGGAAGGGGAGGGGGCGAGGGGTGCGAACCAAAATGGGGGGGGGGGGCATTAGCACTATTGGTTGGTTGGTTGGATTTATTTAAAGTCGTACAACAAACAGGCATATATGCCTCCTTATATGAAGACGACTTCTGGCAGCAAAAACATTTAAAAAAGAAAAAAAAGAGAAAGAATGTATAGACTGAGCATACGTCATACAGCTAGCCGGAGACTGAGCATACAGCTAGCCTCGGCATGTATCAGAACATCAGATTACTAGTACTCAAGACAGGGGGGGGGGGGGGGGGGAGGGTGCTGTTCACGCTACAGTAAGACAATACGCGTGCAACACACCCTTGAACTGGAGGGGGGACGTGATGTTTCTCGCATCAGGTGGAAGACTGTCCCAAACGCGTGCAGCAGAAAGAGACACGGGATGAGTTCTGGCTGGAAGCTGCAGCAGATGTTGTTGGGAGCCGCGCGTTTCGCCAGACCTAGTCGGAGTGACAACATCTCCAAATAATGCGCTGATCAGCAGCTGCTCCATGGTGGAATGTAGGGACCGGTAGACCAGCGAGCACACTGTCTCACGCAAGAGCTGGTGTACACGAAGCAGGTTGTTTTCCGCATACACGGGAGTCATACGGGTACGGGAGCTCAGGTTGTACACGGCTCGCAGGGCTAGGTTGCATAGGCGTTGAAGTCTCTCCT